CGAGCCGCAGTAGCGACAAAAGACTTTGGAGCTGAAAAGTTTAGCTTAGACAAAAGGATTGAAAAGTCTCTTGAGTGAAAATAAAGAAAATCCAGCATCCTCCTTGAGCCTGGGGTAGCACAAGCTGTGCCACACTGGTGGCGAAACCCGGGAGTAGGACGCCAACACACTGAGGGAGTCTCCACAGCAGAAGAGGAGGCCATCAAGACCTTCATCCACCTGTACCTGGCCTGCTGGCAGGAGCTGCAGGCTGTTTTCCATGATGCTGAAAAGCGATGGAAGCAGCTTGAGGAGCAGCAGTGGTGACTCGTCAGATGGTCAGGAGCCTGCTGGCGGAGCGGCAACCCTTGGTGTGCGCAGGGGCAGGAGCCCCTCTCTCACTCCCACCTCAGGCCTCCAGTCCCAGCTTCAAGGAGGACTGCAGCCTGCCTTCCATGCTCCGAGATCACTCAGAGCTCACCTCCTTTCCCCTCCCATCCCTGCTCAGAGGAGGTTCGGAGCACTCCTTCTCTCCCCTCCCATCCATGCTCCAAGATCACTCAGAGCTCACCTCCTTTCCCCTCCCATCCCTGCTCAGAGGAGGTTCAGAGCACTCCTTCTCTCCCCTCCCATCCCTGCTCCGAGAGGGCTCAGAGCTCGCCTCCTTTCTCCTCCCGTCCCTGCTGGCGAACCTGCCACCGTTGCAACATGTCAGTTTGTGAAATTTCTTTCCTCCTTGATATTCTGTGATCAACTGTGAGTGGTATTATTGAAAAGTGAAGCCACGAAGTGGCAGACTACATAAGTTACAGAGAGGGGTCGCTGAGTGCTGAGGCGCATAGTGTATAAAAGTCGCCAATGGTCTGCTGACTCAATAACTGCAGGGTCACAAACCTCCTTTGGCATTAACATCAGCACAAAAACTGTGCATCAGGAGCTTATATATGTATAAAACACACTGCCACTGGACTCTGGAACGTGGAAACATATTCTCTGGAGTGATTAATCACACTTCTCTATCTGGCATTCTGATGGACAAGTCTGGGTTTGGCAAATGCCAGGGGAACGTTACCTGCCTGACTGCACTGTGCCAACTGTAAAGGGTGGTGGAGAAGGGATAATGCTATGGGGTTGTTTTTCAGCATACTAAGACATTTTGGACAATTGCACACTTCCAACTTTGTGGAAACAGTTTGGGGATGGCCCTTTTCTGTTCCAGCATGACTGTGCCCCAGTGCACAAAGTAAGGTCCATAAAGGCATGATTGGGTGAGTTTGGTGTGGAAGAACCACACAGAGCCCTGACCTCAACCCCATCAAACACCTTTCAGATGAACTAGAATGGAGATTGCAAGCCAGGCCCTCTCGTCCAACATCAGCATCTGACCTCACAAGTGCTCCTCTGGATGAATGGGCAAAAATTTCCACAGACACCCTCCAAAATCTTGGAATCTAAGTCTATACACACACATATATAATTTGGGTGGTGGATCATTCTCAGCACTGCACTGTGGTGCATGTGGTGGTGGCGTGTTAGTGTGTGTTGCGCTGGTATGACTGGAGCAGACACAGCAGTGCTGCTAAATTTCTTAAATATTGCGTTCACTGACTGTCCATTCTATTAGACACACCTTGTTGGTTCACTTTGCATACATAAAGTGTATGTATAAGAAGAATCCCTTTTGGTTCTACAACCCCATTTCCAAAAAAGTTGGGACGCTGTGCAGAATGTAAATCAAAATAGAACACAATAATATAATACGTAGACCATATATATATATATTTTTTTAATTTTTACCTGATTTTCTCCCCAATTTAGTCGTCTCCAATTCCACCCGCTAGTTAGGACTCCCCCAATCACACGATGCTATCAACGCTAGGAGGGTGAAGGCTAACACAGGCTTCCTCCGAGACCTGTGAAGCCAACCACCGCTTCTTTTCGAGCTGCCGCTCACGCAACGTCATTGGACAGCTGAACGTGCTCGGAGGAAAGCGCCAACTGCCAGATCTGTTACGTCAGCTAACAGACGCCTGCGCTGACTAGCACCGCGCTGAGTGGTGGGGGGAGAAGGAGGGGCCATCCTACCCACCCAGAGAGAGCGAGGCCAATTGTGCTCTCTTGGACTCCCGGCTACGGATGGCTGTAGCATCACCAGGGATCGAACTCGCGATCTCCTGATGATAGGGCCAACGCTTAGACGGTTGCGCCACTCGGGAGCCCCTAAACCATATTTTTAAAGAAAAATAGTACAAAGACAACATATCAAATGTTGAAACTGATACATTTTTTTGTTTTTTGAAAAATATATGCCGATTTTGAATTTAATGCCAACAACACATTCCAAAAAAATTAGGACGGGGGCATGTTTACTACTTTATTTCATCACTTCTTCTTTTAACAGCACTCTGTAAGCGTTTGGGAACTGGGAAGAGCAACTGCTGTAGTTTTGAAAGTGAACTGTTTTCCCATTCCTGTGTGATATAGGATTTCAGCTGCTCAACAGTTTGGGAGCTCATTTGTCATATTTTTCATTTAATAATGCATCAAATGCTTTTAGTGGTGACATGTATATATAGTTCAGCATCAATATTTCCTACACAGATGTTCACGTCACCCATGCCATGGGCACTAATGCACCTCTATACCCCTTTAACGCACCTCTACACCCCTTTATCGGACCACAGGCCACTTTTCCACTTCTCCTCAGTCCATTTTAAATAAGGCCCAGAGAAGGTGGCAGCGTTCCTGTTTATATATGGTTTCTTCTTTGCGCTTTTGAGTTTCAACTTGCATTTGTAGATGCAGTGACAAACTGTGTTCACAGACAGTGGTTTTCAGAAGTGTCCCTGAGCCTATACAATGATTTCCTCTACAGAATCATGTCTGTTTTTAATGCAGTGCCAGCTGAGGACCCAAAGATCATGGCCAGCAAATATTGGTTTTTGGCTTTGTCCCTTGCATACAGAGATTTCTCTAGATTCTCTGAATCTTTTAATGTTATTATGTACTGTATATGATGAAAAGCAAAAGTTCTTTGCTGTTTTATGTTGAGAGACGTTATTCCTGAATTCTTGCACTATTTGCTCATGCAGTCTCTTACAGAGTGGTGAACCTCTCGCCATCTTTATTTCTGAAAGACTCTGCCTCTCTGGGATGTTTTTTTATACCAATTTCTCCCATTATGTGGCTGACCTGTTGCCAATCAACCACCAGGTGTTTTTATAGCATTATACAATTTTACCAGCCTTTTGTTGCCCCCGTTCCAACTTTTTTGGAACATGTAGTTGGCATCAAATTCAAAATGGGCATATATTTTTCCAAAACCAGTACAATTTCTCAGTTTCAACATTTGATATGTTGTCTTTGTTCTATTTTCAATGACATATAGGGTTTAAATGATCTGCACATCATTGCATTTTGTTTTTATTTATATTTTGCACAGTGTCCCAACTTCTTTGCAAATGGGGTTGTATATAGAAACAAATTTTCAAAAAGGTTCTGTGTAGAACCATATACAACATTTTCTCCATCAATCTGAAGAACCATATTTAAGCACTCATGTTTCTAAATAGAACCGTTGCCTTTACTGAAAATGATGCCCATTTATATATATATTTAGTTGTCCTGTCTAGTGTTGTGTTTTTTTTTTCATGTCTGGTGTTATTTATTATATGTTCTGCACTTGTTTCACACTGTCCTGTATCTGCGCACTTTGTAGTCCTGTGTTATGTGCTGCTGTTGTTGCCGAAGATTTCCTATATCGAGGAATGACAAAGGCCCCTTGACTTGAGGTGAGCCAGCAACCAGAAAGTTGCAGGTTCAACTCCCAAGACTGACTGGGAATACCTGGGCAAAGTCCTAACCCCCACCCCCCCACCCCACTTCCCCTGGAGGTGCTGGTCTACTGGCGACACTCCTACTCTCAGAGTGGGCATAGTTAAGCATAGAAATTTCCCTTGTAGGATCAGTAAAGTACATAACAAAAATGGACAGTAACGTGTATAAAGTTGAGTGGCATTTTTATACTTTTTCATCACTCCTAGATAATAGACAATATTAAAACACTTAATGTGCTGGCTGTCCAGTTCAGTTAATAATTTGTATGTTATTATCAGCATTTACAGACTTAGACACAATCATTTTAATGTGGGTCATCAACAAACCTTGAGAATTCAATTATGGACCATGTTCTTGCATATGCATCACTGTAAGTCAGCTTCTGTTGGCTCTGAGCGTTCATCAGTGGGGTAGTTCCTACTTCATAAAAACATTTCTGTTAGACTGTAGCCAGTTAATGTAGCTTTGTATTGCTGCAGGATATAATGCTGTTCTGAATAAAAGTGTTATTGAAAGGAAAAGGAAAATTTTGCTTTCATTTCTGGTAGCTGCTTTACTTTGGCTTTACTTTGCAGCTACCAAGTTTACTTTTTGAAAAATTAGTTTGTTAATATTTGTATTAACATGCAGTCATGTCAGTTTTCCTCAGAAGATATTTGGATATCTTTCATAAATTACCCATGCTTTCTGTGTGGTCAGCAGCAGGTATAAATTTTGGTCATCTTCACAAACAGTTCAAGACTTCAAAAAATTTCATGAATACTAAAATTTACATAAAATAGTCTTTTTACAAGCGATTTACACACAAATGTGTTCTGCTCGTGTTTCATGAATACCTCAACACTTTGTTCAATACCTTGGTGGAAAGATCAGTTTAATTTCATAAAATGTTTACAGAATAGTGATGAGACTTCTACTTTGGAGGCACCATACCTGTGTCACAGTCTCATAGGACTTTATGTAGACTTTTTCTCATACTTTATTGTCCTGTATTTTCTTAATGTTAGTATAAAACATTTTATCTGGCTCCTGTTTGCTGTTGATGTCACATTATTCAGTATTTACATAAGTTAAAATGAAACATAATACAATCTTCCTAAAAAGAGTGTCATCAAGATCATATTAAAAGGTGTTTACTTTTAGTATATTTTGAAGATTACTGATTATTATTCATTTTCATTCAGAATCTACAAGATCTTCTTGCTTTTGAGGGTCAGCTGGTGGTACTGGAATGCCGTGTTAAGGGAGTGCCCTCACCCAAAGTAGACTGGTACAGGGAGGGGATGCTCATCGAGGACTCTCCTGACTTCAGAATCCTACAAAAGAGTATGTCTAATTTTGATGTGAATTGTCTTATACATATGCAGTGCCCCTCACAAATACTGAAGTGTGTTATTTGGGATGGGGGGTAGATTTAACAATGTATTGAAGAACTTCCCTTGGTATCACTTTACAGTACTACTTTACAGTTAATAAGTACCTAATCAGAAACACTGTTAACTAAACAATAACCACTGAGTCTCATAGAGGATTTAGTCATTATTATTATTCACAGAAACAGCTATCCTCAAAGAATTCAAATTCTATCAAATTCTCTCACACTCACTATCAAACTCTCTGTCACACACAGTCATATTCTCTCACACTCGCTACCAACCCTTCACACATACTATTAAACTCTTTCACACACACTATCAAACTCTCTCATACACACTATGAAACTCTTTTCAGAGTGTTAGAGGTAAGTTAGAATTTTGGCCTAAGGGGCCTCTCATACAGACCTGCATGATGCTACTGATGCAGATAAAGGACTGTTTTATTTGGCCTCCAGCACAACACTTACATACAGACACAGTTAGCTAACTTGCTAACTAAGCTTAGCTAAGTAATTGCGGTGTTCTTTTACAATGTTTGTGTTAATTCAGCTAGTGTGAGAAGCTAATGGACAGCAAAGATTTGTGCCTTATATGAAACAGAAAGAGGTGTAATTAATATGAAAGCAGAACATACTGCGATCAATTTCAGGTCTCAGACATTTCTCCTTTAGTAGTAATGTCACATTTTGATTTCATTATGTTTGAGTGTGTTATTTTCAGTGATATAGCCAACTCAGGAACATTGTTGAGTCATAAAAATGACTCAATAAACAACTTATTTCATCCTATTTTTTCAAAATTTCCTTATTAATATTTTTTCTTTTGAGTCATTTCTTTTGGGATTTTAATTTTTATGGGTTTCACTTCATAATACTTTTCCAGATCATTGTTAACTTCTAATGAAGAACACAGTAACATCTTGTTCATTAGTAATGAGTTACCATGTGTTTGACTTTGAATACTGTTCCTGATTATCATTAACCCGTTATTTATTAGTAATGAGTAACCATGTGTTTCATTGCATAATGTTGTTCCAGAAGATCTTTAACTCCTAACACAGGACAGCAAAGTGAATTTGAAGGTAGGACAAGACAAGGCAAGGCAAGGCAAGTTTATTTATGTCAGGGGTAGGGGGAAAAATCGATTCTTAGATGCATTGCGATGCAGACATGGACGATTCTGAATCGACTCACAAATGTCAAAAATCTATTTTCTAAATTTTAATATATAACGTAATGTTGACGAAACACAAAAGGCGGAACTTTGAAGTGCGGAAGTGCAGCATCTGGACACTGACGTGCACATAACAAAAACACAACTGGCACCCTCTGTATTAAAAGCTAGGTTAGGTCAGGAGTCGACAACCCAAATGTTAAGAAGAGCCATTTTGTCCTTTCAACAAAAATCAAACCATCTTGGGAGCCATAACATTTTATGTCCAATATCAGTATGTGCTAATGTCCTAGTATAGGCTAAAAATATGAGCGAAAACGCAGACTTACTTTGCTCAGCTTAAGCTTCAGCTATAGCCGCTTTCCTTCCATCTCTGCTGGGAAACATTTCCTCAAAAGTAGAACAGCTTCTTGTAAAATGTCTCTCAACATTTGACTTTTACGAGGCTGAAGTCACTTCTTATTTGAAGTTTCCCGTTCCACCTTAAATTCTGCCTGAGGTGCCAGAATGTAACTGCTGCACCATTTAAGGTGTAAAGGGAGAATTCGATAGAGAAGCTGACTTCAGCTTGGCAACTTTTTAGTGTTTGACAGTCTCTCGTTGCAGATTTAACCTACCAAGAAACCAACTGTGATGCTTATAAATAAGTCCATTTGTCTCCAAATGTTCATCTTAAATCTTTCTCTTTGCCTTTTCATTAGCTACTAGCTAGGCGAGACTCTGCGTTGCTATGTGACCTGCAGTCTGCACGCCAACCTTCAGGGTTATAGGGTGGGGAATTAGCAGCGTTTAAGACCATCTTTTGTTAAAACTGTGTTAGAATGATCAGCAGAGCTTTATTTTACTACAAAGGAGGATTATTTTATTTTTACCTAAAAACGTAATTCTGCTGTGGAGCCACATCAGGGCAGTAAAAGAGCTGTTTCCGACCCCTGAGTTAGCATATGGAAGCACTTTGGCTTCTATGGAGTTGAAGGGGAAAAGGGACCTGGACAAGAACCACACTATATGCAAGTTGTGTCACACTAAACTAAAATATTTTGGAAACGACAAACATGAGAAACCATAGTACGTTTCCACCCGTTTTCCGTCCGGTTGTAGTTGCTGCCAACCAGAGGACCATTGAGCAAGCAATGTCAGAGCTTCCACCCAACTCGGAAAGGGCGAAGCAAATTATAAACTCTTTGTTGCACACTTTGGAGGTGAGATACAGCATCCTGTCCTGAAAATATTTTACTGACACTGCGACCCCTCACAGTCTACAACAACACCAAAACCGAAGTTATGGAATCACTGAAGAAAACAGGTAGGACAGCTGTAACGTGATGCGTGGACACCCATTGCCACAGAATCTTATGTTACAGTAACAGTGCATTTTATCACAGGTGAGTGGCAGCTGGCATCTCATGTGCTCTAAACAAAAGCAGTGAATGAGAGCCTTCCAGTTCACTTACCATATCACTTCCATTTGTTTTATTAATAAAAGATATTGGAAGTAAATTCATTCTGGATCATTACAAATACTTTGCTTTAAAAGTCCTCACACAGTGAGAAAAAATAAATTCTGTATAGAAAAAAAGTGCATCAAGATGCATCGATAATCATTTTATGATCCCATCCTAGCCCTCTGAATCATAATTGAATCGTGAGGTGCCTAGAGATTCCCACCCCTGATTTACATAGCATCTTCCAAACACTGCTGTCATTCAAAGTGCTTTACAAATGAGAAAATTCAGAGTCAGAGTTGTTTAAGAAAAAAGTAAAGTAAACGCAAATACACACACACATTTGCTAAGCCGCTTTATCCTTCTGGGTCACGGGGGGAGCTGGAGCCTATCCCAGTGGTCACTGGGTGGAAGGCAGGATAAACACAAATAGAAAAACATTTAAAACATTAACAAAAACATTTAATTAACAAAACAATTTAAAACAACATTAAAAACATAATTAAAATATGATTAAAACAGTACATTTAAAAGAGAAATTAAATTAGGATAGTTAAATACTCACACACATACACATGCCACGCACACATTTCCTAAGCTGTTCATGATAGTTAAATAATCAAATTAGAAGTTAGATTAGGATGAAAAAAGTGCCGTTACAGAGAAAAGGGGGCTAGAAATGCTATTAGGGTTTAAACTGAGCTGAAAGCCTGCTCAAACAGGAATGTTTTGAGCCTGGATTTAAAAGTGTCCAGTGTCAGCGTTCTTCTAATGCATCTAGTGAGTGATGCGCTCAAGGCAGAGTGAGTCAAGGGGACCATAGTTGTTTGGGGAAAGGGCCAAGTAGATGCCAAATAAAATAATCTTTGTTTTATCTTTATTCAACTGCAGAAAGTTTTGTTCCATCCAGTTAGTAATGTGCTCAAGGCACTTACAGAGTGAATCAAGGGGACCATAGTTGTTTGGGGAAAGGGGCAAGTATATCTGAGTATCATCTGCATAGCTATGGTAAGATATCACATAGCCTTGTGGTATTTGGCCAAGAGGCAGCATATATAAATTGAATGAGTGGCCCAAGAATTCTTTAAGAATACTTTAAAGGATAACTACTTTTCAGAAGAAACAACACTGGCACATATGCTCCTACAGAAATAAATGCGTGTTTTCTAAAGATGAAAGGTACGTAGACTCATCTGCTGAATAGTAATAGTATTTTAGCAGTTGTCCCATTTGTAGGCTGATGTGCATTTTGGTTTGAATATGAAGATGTGCATTAGCCTTTTAGGGTTGCTGGTCAAAGCAAACACAAGAGGGATAGTAGTCAGCACAGTGTGGTGTGGTGGCCCCCGTGTTCTCTTCGGAGATTCATGTTTCTGTGAATAATAATGGACAATATAATCATTTACATTTTAGATACTGCACACTGTGTAGTGTATTTCAATACTTTTAGAAGTGACCGCTGACATAGGCTCCAGCCTATCCAGAAGCATAAGCAGCTTTATTTTTTTAGGCAGAAAATTTGTGTGTGTGTGTGTGTGTGTGTGTGTGTGTCCTAAGAACTATCCTAAGAAGAGAGTTACTAAGTAATCCTCTATGAGACTCAGTGGTGCATGTTTAGCTAATAGTAAACTACCGTAATCATTAGTTCACCTTTGCCTACTGAGTAATTAACTGGTACTTCAGTAGTTAATAGTAGTTACTTAAGTGTAAATGCAGCAATGCTCACTCGACCCTGTGTAGTTCCTAATTAGTTACTTATTAACTATGAAACTGTATTGTAAAGTGTTACTCTTTTCTCTAATGTGCTCCTGAGCAAGCCCCTCCCCAAGGAGCTCCAGAGACACCCTTTGTAAATGACAATATTGTCTGGACACACATGGTAAAATAAAAGTAAAAACACAACTACTGTGCAACTAAAAAAGGGTTTAAAATGGCTGTGATTTCAAAAAAATATATACCATGCAAATGTATTATGTGACGATGGCAATAATCAATCTAATTGCTAAGTGAGGGGTAGCTAAGTGGTGTTCTTTTCATTAAATTCTGCACCCCTTTTTTCTCCAAACATACCATTGCTCATTGTGACCAAGAATTCTATTTTAACTACACCAGTCCACAGGACCTATTTTCAAAATGCATCAGGTTTGTTTAGATGTCCCTTTGCAAACTCATTTTCAAAATCTTTCATTTTGACACAAAATCATGTTGTAGAGGATTATTTTTTATTGATGCACTGCCCAATTAATCTGGCATATTTTTATGTGAATAGACAGACAATACATTTAACTGTAGTACTGTGGTCTTACATAATCAAAAAAAGTGATGAAGCCAATGACTGAGGGTGATACTGTTCATGGTATTGAGATTTCTCTACTAATTTGGTCATGCGCGAGCGTTTTTTTTTTTCTTGAGGATATTTCAAATTTCATATTCTTTTGTTATGGCAAATTCATTGAATTCTTCAATAAGCACAAAAAAAATAAAATGTTATACAGTGGCATGCAAAAGTTTGGGCACCCCAGTCAAAATTTCTGTCATTGTGAATAGCTAATTAAGCAATAGAACATGAGAGGAAATAACATCACGGCTGTGATTTGGTGGCAGGCACAAGCTGAAGATCATCACAGAAATTTGATAATGCTTTTATACAACAGTCAAATAAATAAAGTAAGAAATAAATAAATTGGGCTGTGAACATAGCATTTAATATGTTTTAATGTTAACAATTCCTTTTACCAAATTATAGTTCCTTAACAAGCAGTTTGTTACTACGTCAGAGTAACGGACTCCACTCACTCGCTGCACAGCCAGCAGTTCATTCTCCAGCTCCTTACACTAAATGGTATTTGGTTAATTTCTGGCTTCCAGGTTGTTTAAGTGTTCTTCTGTCACAGCTGCCAACTGAAAAGCTTACTCAGTGGTAATGACAGTTTTGGAATTTAGTGTAGTCTCATCTTCAGAGTCTGACCAAATCAGCTGTGGGTCAAATCTTAATCTTAAAATATCCATTTTTTGTTTGTGTGCAAAGTAAGAAGTAAAAACATTCAAATGGCTTGAGCATCTCCTACAGCTTTGCTTAGCAATGGCGTCTCAGCAGAGTGATACAGTGTTCGTGAAAAAAATGCTTCTCAACCAATCAGCTTGCATGGCCGGAACTTACTGTTGCATAAGAAAGTAAAAGATGACCTGATTTCCAAAATACATACAGCTAAAGAAGACATGTTTCTTCAATATTTTATGCAAGAATCCTGGCTTGTAAACACTTTTTGTAGCCAACAAAGAGTTTTCCTTCAGTTCTTGTTTAGGGGATTTTCACCCATTCTTTCTTGCAAAAGTCTTCTAGTCCTATGAGATTATTGGGCAGTCTTGCCTGCACTGCTCTTTTGAGGTCTATCTACAGATTTTCAGTGATGTTTAGGTCAGGGGATTGTGGGGCGATGGCTTGTGCCTTTTGAGGCAGTCTATCATGAATTTTGACATGTGTTTAGAATCATTATCATGTTGTTGATTTACCCCACGCTAAACAGTTGAAGTCATGTTCTTTTTATTAAATTCTGCACCCCTTTTTTCTCCAAACATACCTTTGCTCATTGCAGCCAAAAAGTTTCATTTTAACATCATCAGTCCACAGGACCTATTTCCAAAATGCATCAGATTTGTTTAGATGTTCCTTTGCAAACTCCTGCTGAATGCTTTTTGAGTTTTGTGGTGAGGATACGGGAAAGATTTTTTTCTGATGATTCTTTCATGAAGGTCATATTTGTGCAGTTGTTGCAGTAGAACAGTAGGTCTTTTGCAAACGGGAATTTTGATTTGCCTTTCTAGCAATCCTACGAGCAGTTATCTCTGAAAATGGTTCTTCTAGACCTCAACTTGACCTCTACCATTCCTGTTAAGTGCCATTTCTTAATTACATTTTGAGCTGAGGAAACAGCTACTTGAAGATGTTTTGCTATCTTCTTATAGCCTACTTCTGCTTTGTGGGTGTCAGTTATTTTAATTTTCAGTGCTAGGCAGCTGCTTATAGGAGCCCATGGCTGCTGATTGTTGAGACAAGGTTTGAGGAATCAGAGTATTATAAAGCTTTGAAATTTGCATCACCTGCATTTTTTTAAATGATGACTGTAAACAGGCCATAGCCCAAACAAGCTAATTAAGGTCTGAAACTTTGGTAAAAGTTATTTGAGAGCTCAAACCTCATGCAAAAACATTCGCATGGTGCTCTTTTCCTTTTTTCACTCTGAAATTATAAAACACTAATTTTGCTTAAAATGTTGAAACAAATGTTTTATCTTCATGCTTTTTGGCGATCCGTTCATCTTCTACTCACTTAACTATTCACAGTAACAGAAATTTAGACCAGTGTTGCCCAAACTTTTGCCTGCCACTGTGGGCTAAAACAAGAATACACATTGACAGCCTTGCTTTCTCTGTTTAGTTAGTGTAGTTGGAAGCATCTAACTAAAACAACTAAGCAACTAAAACTCTGTTTAAGTACCTGAGCATCTTCACACAACATGGGATATCTGAACATAAAAAATCCTGCCAATAGGGAAGAATGGTGCTTAGTAGAAAGTGCTTTCAGTTATCATCTCATAGCAACCACAACTGTGAATTTTGGCAGTAAATATTTCTCAGCGTTCACCGTGAAGACACCCAGTTTTTATACCATAAATGCACATTTTAAACACTTTCATTGTATGTTACTGAGTTGTGTGTAAAAGTCACAAAATTCTTACCAATATTACTTCAATCACACTCTTGTTTGCTGTAATATGGCACCAATTTGAAGCTTACAAACAGCTCGCAGTGACAGCTAGCCAGGCTAGAATACAGCCTCCACACAGAGGAGTTAGTAATAAGGCAGCATTACAGAGTTATGTTGTGGCATTACTACTAAACCTCATAAAAATGATGAGACAACATAACTTACCATATAATTTCAACACAGTCCATTTTGAGACATTATAATGCACAAATTCATTGAGTTTGACACATTCTCCTTTCACTAATATTTATTATGACTAATATAGTTTTGTATTTAGTATGTATTTAGGTTGGAAAGTTTGTCTGGTTCAAACAACATGGAAAGGTATTAAAATAATTGTGGTTTGTGTCAATTTACCAGACTTTTTAGTGACACACATAGTCCATTACAATTAACTCCACTCCTGCCACTTTTGACTGAATTGTTTCCAAACAGTAGGTGCTTTAAACACAGTTTTTTGTTTGCAACAGAGATAGGTAGATTGTTTGTATACAAAAAAAGTATTAATCCTGCTTAAATACTTTTCAAATGATTCAGGGAAAACCAAAATGTGTTGTACCCTGCTCCCCTACATATATATGCACAAAATACACAGCAATTTTTCACCACAGATTAATCTTTCTAATCTGAACAGCCTTGAGTATACAGTACAACTAGCTGTTTTAATTTAGCTGTTATATTACTAATGGAGGGCACTGCAGAAGGATGTATGTCATACATTTAACTCTGAGTGGAAAATTATATACATTTTTGGATATACTAAGTTTTTAATGTCTGATAGAATGACAATAGGTAACTATATCACTAAAATGACAATCCACTATTTATGTATATTTATATATTTTTGCAATCATTTTAATTGTTTATTTATTTATTTATTTTTTTAGAGCCTAGATCCATGGCTGAATCTGGTAGGTGGATTGTTTTACAAATTACTATAAATTACATCTACCTATGCTGTAAAAACTGCTGAGTTAAAAACTACAGAGTCTGGCCTATTTGGCAATTTTGAGCTTCATGTAGCAGAGTAACAGAGCTGGACAAAATAACTCACCAAAACTACAAAGTGGCTCAACCCACTTTGCTGGAAAAATAAAAACAGCAGTTTTTAGAGTGTCCAACTCTCTCTCTCTCTCTCTCTCTCTTTCTCTCTCTCTCTCTCTCTCTCTCTCTCTCTCTCTCTCTCCTTCTAAATAAATTGGTCATGTTAGCCTTAAAAACAGCTATTTCTTGTGAAACTAATGCATTACAGGAGTTGCATGATATGGGGCTAGCATAGCAGTAGCTTGTGGCAATTGCTTGTGATTTTCATCCACCTTCATATTTTATATTATAGTATAGCATATTATTTTGCTTGTGAGAAAATACAAAACTCATTTCCAGCTGTTTGGATTATCATTTTGTGGGAGACTACATTTTTTGTCCTTTTAGCACCTTCAATAACTAGCTGTCGAATGCTGGCAAGACTGAAGACCATATCAGCAGTGCATTTTCCTTTAAGCTTGCCTTTCCCTCCTGTGCAACACTGGACAAAGTAAGTTCCTTTTATATTAATATCTATTAGATAATATATCAATTTCCCTAGACTTGTTTTTGTTATATTTGGTTTGTGTTGGCTGAACTTGATTTACAGAGGAGAATTCAGGGAGAGATGGAGCATTTGATAACTAGCCAACTAAAATAGCTAACAACTGAATTCTGTGGTCATGTCAGTGGTTTTTTGAAAGTGAAATCACAATTTTGTTAGAGAAAATGTCTTACATATGCAGTGTTTGGCCTGAGTAACATTACATCTTCTCCAGCACAAAATACCACACTAATGTAGTTTAGCTAGTTGGGGTCTAAAAGCATTTGCAGCATGCTTGCCTATGGTTGATATTAGTCTATTTCATATAACTAGCTCTGAAGAGGGGAAATTCAGGAATCCGTTCAGTGGGGATACTGGTACTTCAGTGAGGGGCAGATATATGTGTGTGGTGCATACTGATGTTATCCTGCCTAAACTAAATAATTAAATTGATGTGTTCTAGTTGTTTGCCACTGCAGTTGATTTAAAGAGGATGCTCACCCTACTGGCAACTCCTCAGCTGCTACTGCTTGCTATGTTTAAAAAGAATCTGCATAAGTCAACAACAATTTTGTATTTCAGCAGAATGGCTCTGTCCTTGCTGCAAGTGATTAACTCTTCATTTGTTTTTTTCAGGTGAGAAAACAGCAAGCTGTATTGAATGCTGAATGGTCAGTCTTGAGGGACACATCATCTGTAAGGGCACACAGCCAACTTTCTTAACCAGGCTTGCTTCTGTGTTTTCTACGTAGAGCTTCAATCTTCAGTATCAAAGAGAAGCCACTGACATTCATTCAAAGGTTAGGTATTCATACCCATTTCACATGGAACCATGACTGATGAAACTTGTAGGCTTTTATATAGTTTAGTCCAGTCCAGTAGTATTAAAACATGTATAAATCAAATTATCTAGAAAATTTATTTAAAATGCCTCTAATAGTAAGTGACCATTGTTGCAGTGTGATTTCACATGGTTGCACTGGAGCTTGCACTTGATTCTTGTCTATTAAAGGAGAAACAAGAAGCTAAACAGCTCTTCCAATCAACCTTCTTAGTTGTTTCCAGGTGTTTAGCTTGCCATTTCTCAATGAAGGAAAGAGAATAAGCTTTAACAATATATTTTTATATATTTATTTACTGTTAATATTCATGCCTAAATGTTTTTTTTGAAATTACATTTTCTGATGTGAAAAATGTGGAAAGGTTTTGCAAGTAGAATCATCAAGACTTTATTTAGAATAAAGCCACACATTTTGTAAGATACCCTCTGCTTTTGTCTCATTTTTTTTGTCACATGATTTAAACTGCCATGTCAACTGTTCACTGAAATTATTAACCCTTTCATGCACGTTATGTTTCTGGCAAGATTAACAAGCAGTAAAAACACAATGTTTTTTATCAGTACAGAAAAATCTGTAGCTATATCTGTGCACTCCTATCTAAGCTCTAGCAGTATTATGCTGTAAACGTACTAAATTACGGTTATATCCTGTATTTGTAAAAAAAACAGTATTAAGCCGTACATTTAACAACAGTAGGATACCGTTAATTTAATGGTAAGTTCCTGGCAACCCTGCTGCCAGTTTTTTACAGTGAAATTTATTACAGTGCATCTTCTAATGGCTACTTCCAGCATGATAATGCACCATGTCACAAAGCAAAAGTAATCTCAAGCTGGTTTCATAAAATTACAATGATTTAGATGTTTTAGAAGCCTTCTCAGTTAATGGATCTAAAAACTTTTGGGATGTGGTAGAATGAGAGATTGGCAGCATGAAAGTGCACCTGAAAAATCTGCAGGAGGTGCATGATGCAGTCATGTCAACATCGACCAGAATCTCCTAGGAACGTTTCTATTTTGTGGAATCCATACCACGAAGAACTGAGGCTGTAAAGAGAGTAAAAGGAGGGCCTACCAACTATGTTGGTGTTTATGTATTTATACATGTGTGTGTATGAATGAACACATCCTTGTATCTACTGTCATTGTTCATTTTATCAGCTCCACTAACCCTATAGGTGCTCTTTGTGTTTCTACAATTACAGACTTCTGTCCATCTGTTTCTCTGCATACTTTGTTAGCACTCCTTCACTCTGTTCTTCAATGATCAGGACCAGTATATATATATATAATATATATATATATATATATATATATACACAACCCCATTTCCTAAAAAGTTGGGATGCTGTGCAAAATGTAAATTAAAAAAATGCAACGTTTAAACCCTAAATTTAATTGAAAATAGTACAAAGACAACATATCAAATGTTCAAACTGAGAAATTGTATTGTTTTTTGAAAAATATATGCTCATTTTGAATTTGATGGGGGCAAGAAAAGGCTGGTAAAGTTGTGCAGTGCTAAAAAAAACCCTGGTGGTCAATTGGCAATAGGTCAGTAACATGATTGGGTATTACAAAGTATCCCAGAGAGGCTGAGTCTTTCAGAAGTAAAGATGACGGACATGGGGTTCACCCCTCTGTGAAAGACTGTGCTAGCAAATAGTGCAACAATTCAAGAATAACGTTTCCCAGTGTAAAATAGCAAAGAACTTATGCTTTTCATCATCTATGGAACGTAATAACATTAAAAGATTCAGAGAATCTCAAGAAATTTCTGTACGCAAGGGACAAGACCAAAAACTAATATTGGCTGGTGATATTTGGGCCCTCAGGCAGCACAGCATTAAAAACAGACATGATTCCATGTTTTATCAGTAACATGGCCTATTTTTATCCCTGTTTATGCATTGTTTTATATGTTCCACTTTAACATTAATGTGAATTATCACTACAACCTTTTTTAACATGTATGTTCTTATAACGAAAATAAGCTTAGGCACAACATAGCTGTACTACAAACCATAAAAGTAAAGTATTAGCTAGCTATTAGCACAAGTTATCTTTTAAGAGCATTGATACAATGACATAATATGCACCAAGCTATGTTAGAAGCATTAAAGAAAATACTCTCATAACTCAGAATGGTTTTTATTTCTTTCCTTTTTTCTTAAAAAAGCATCTGAACCAAACAAGTATGGTGTAATCTCCCATCACAGTGGCTAGCTACAGACTACCAGAGCAGAAAAACATGCTTCAACTCAGTTATAAATTTCAAACACTTATAACTCCACAGAAAACTGCCTCCTTCACATTTACAGCCGGAATTCTGATGAAAGAACATCTTATAAATGAATATATTTATTAACAGCTTATTTTTCGATATATGGAAATATATCAATAATTAAAAAATACAAAATAAAAAACTTTTAGGATCATTTTGTGGTGTTTCACACCAAATATTGTCCAGTCAGTTCACAGCACAGTTCAGACAGATCTCCAGCTGAAAAGGAATTAGTGACCACATGTAGCACTCTCTTAAGATACACAGGTGTACTGGGCCCTCTTCTAGGGACAACGTGTAACTTCACCTCTACATGACATATGTTTAGGGTTTTAGTGGCTCCATATTTCATATGGGTTGCACCCTCCCCCCTTGACTGTGCATGAGTCCCTTCATGTGCTGACCTATAGTGCAGTATAAAAGACCATTAAGGGGGAATATCATGGTCACCAATAGTGTAAATCGCTTGATTAAAGTTCTCTAAGAGACTCTGTACAAAGGAGATTAAGGGTTTCCCAAACTGAAGATATTGAAGTAGGTCCAGCAGCTGCCGTAATTGCTCAAATTTACATGTAGAGTCTTTTTTTTCTACATTTGTAACATTTTCATTTTCCTTCTCATCTTCAGCTGTCATAGGTGGTGCATTACTCAGCTAAGTACTTTGTTGAACTTTATCAACAGCTTCTCCATCTTCATAATCCTCTAAATTAATAAAACATACCTCACTGTTGTCCTTAGCAACAGCTGGAGTTTCATTTGTCACGTTCAGTGAGCCCTTCCTGAATCAGGGCCTTATCATGGCAGAAGGGCTTGTGTGATCTAGGGATCTTGAGAGCTAAGACTCCTGGAGAAGTATGCTCCTGGTATGGTTTCCCAAAGCAAACAGGTCTGGAATGAAGACCCAGACTAACTTGATCCAGAATCCCCAATGATTTAGGGACACTAGAGACCGTGTACCCTGCCCGGGAGAGGGTTACCAGGACCTACCCCTCAGCCAGGCCCGGGGTAGTGCTCCTCGGTGAGTGCCTGGTGGCTGGGAGGTCTTTTGCGGGAGGTTGGGAGGCATCAACAAGATATAGGTGGGCTCACCTCCACCTACAGTGATGGCTCTGAAGCCAAACTCTTGATAGGGGTTGATCCCTTTCCTACTCAGGAATTACACTAAGTGAGAGGTGCTGGGAAGGTGTAAGGATATTAATTTCATCTCAGGTGAGGAGAGGTGCTGTTATTCAGTATTACCCCCATACCATTATGGTCCCTGGCTTTTAAACTTTATGGTTGTATCAAGCTGGATGGTTCCTTTTTCTTCGGAGAACACAATATTCATTATTTCCATAAACAACTCAGACCACAGACTCGTCCAAGCTGCATGTTTCCACTGTGCATCAGTCCATTTCAAATGACAGCCGTATTCCTGTTGATATATTTTCAACTTCCACCGTGCATAGTACAGTCTTAACTTGCATGTGTGGATGCAGTGACAACCAGTTTATTGACAGCAGTTTGTCAAAGTATCCCCGAGCCCATGTTTTGGAGTGTGTTGCAGACATCAATTTCAGAATGAGTGTCTACTGACAAAAAAAAATTCATTGATAATGTGAAACCTTAAATATCTTGTCTTTATGCTGTTTTTCTTTAAATAGAGGTCAATTTAAAAATCACTGCTTTTTTTGTTCACATACTGTCCCAGTTTTTTTTTAATTGGATATTTATGTTTGAGTGTGTGAATATATGTGTGTGTGTGTGTGTGTGTGTGTGTGTGTTTGTGTGTGTGTGTGTGTGTGTGTGTGTGTGTGTGTGCATAGCACTGTGCAAATTACTTTCAATCAATAAAAAAATGACAATGTAATTTATGTGCTTATTCTGTTCAGTCTAAAATGAGTTGATGTTCAAGGCATGCCACTCCACCTATTGGGATCTAATGTTATACGTGTGTTAGCCTAAAAAGTTGCAGTTATCTAGTGAGATCAGTTGAGTAGAAAAGGTTAAAGACCTGTTGCTGTCTTGCTGAATTAGTTATTCTGAGCACAATCTCTCTTTCCCTCTTAGCACCATCCTTCTCTCCTCTTCTTACCTATTTTGTTCAACTTGTGAACACAAACCGCAATGATGTAGGCTAGTTGACTAACTAAGCTAGTTCACCAGATAGTATTAGGAGATTAGGGGCAGAGAGTTGTGGATGGGAGTCTGTTGGCGTCTTGATGTGGCTATGTTGTGCTCTAGTTTTGTTCATCTTTAGAGCAACTGGCCTGGATGGTCCAACTGACAGACCTGGCTATCAGCTGGACAATCTTCTGGTACCCCCAATGGGTAGTCCCAGCCTGGAATGAGCACAATAATAATAACTCGGCTGGCTGGTTGCCGCAGGCCCCATTCCACTGTGAGCCCCAATGCAACCACTGCCCCTGCCCCTTTAGTAGTTAGCTACTGCCAACACTCTAAAAAATGCTAGGATGAAAACAACCCAGTCTGGGTTAATTGGCAACTTAGCACTTTAAGTAAAGAAAGGGCAAGGGGATGTAGTAAGCCAAGTGATGAGAGAAAAAAGAAAAAAACCCAGAATTGGTTTACACCACTAACCCACATATTTAGTGACCACAATGCAATGACCAGAATTAGAGGTAAGGAAAAACACAATAGCAGTCCTCAGGTGATCAAGAATGTGAGCAGGATATGAGCAGACTGTGTCAGCAAAAACAGTCTCTCCATAACTACCCAGAGAAGTATAATTGTGTTTGTTAATGCATGTAAATGAAAGAAAATGATGGGAACTTTAGTGGGGTGCAGTTAAATCACAATGCCCAGACCCTCTGTTTCAAAGCCATCATGTGTATTAATGTTACTATTTAATGGGCCTGGACTATAGGAGCTGCAGCAGATGTAGATTGAAACACTGGGAATTACATTTTCTACATTTTCTTATATTTTATTTTGACAGCCCTAACACATACACCAATAATGTGTCTCTTCTCTTGTTTGGTGATTTTAGAGAATATATGTACTTTGGTTATTGCCGAAGTCTTCCTTGAAGATTCTGGAACCTTTACTTGCACAGCTAGCAATAAATATGGCACGGTTTCGAGTGTTGCTGTGTTGATGGTGAAAGGTAATAGGTAACTTTTTTCCTTAAAATGCATGTCTGTTTTTGAAACCCCTGTATTAAAGACTTTCTGCAGCCTCCCACTGCCAATATAAATCTTATAATGCTGAATGAGAGCTTTAACCATTATTCATTTATACAATAAAATATAAAGACTCAGTGTGCTGAGTAGTAAATTGTGAATGACAATGTCAATGTCAATTAGATTTTTTTCACTTTGATTTCAAGGGATGCCAATAACTGTAAGATATAGTTTTAAGAAAAAGTTCAAACTTTTTATGTATGTTCTGCCTGCATAATTTTATATAATTGAAAAGTAATGTTTGTCTTACATTTTCTGAGTAAGATCAACCTGATAAACATATGCAGATTTTTTATAGCTTTTAATTGCACATCTTTACCATTATTGCAAATCATTCAGGAGGACGCTGTACTTCTTCATAAAAGCTGTTTGTGTTTATGGTAATTTGGTAACATTTAATTTTTATTGCATGACCATTTTATCATTTATGTTTATACTGAACTGTATGCATTTATATTTTTCTGTATATCTACAGGCAATGGTGATAACAGCAACCACAATAAAACGTTGAGCACTTCAGCAACAGAGCCCTGTCACCATGACCCAGACCACTTCACAATAACTTCAAAACGTAAGCTAGAGGCTCCTCTGCTATGTATAAAAAATAAATGAATAAAACTAATGTATGCTTTGTCTTGCCAACACCCCTCTACCATCTAGCTTGTGTAACCACAAAACGAGTCACTCAGCATGACATGCTTTCAAGTTTAATCCTAACTCCTCAGCTTTAGCACACTAACAATAGAAGAACCCATTTTGATGCTATATAGAACCCTTATCAAAAAGGTGCTATATAGAACCATCTATAGCACATTGTCCATCAATCTGAAGAACTCTTTTACAATGCAAAGAACGCTTTAAACAGGCAAAGGGTTCTTTGAGAGTTCATAGCTCTATATAGAACCATTTTCTTTATTAAAGTACCCTTGGATAACCATCTTTTTAAAGAGTACACCATATGCTTCAGCTACTTCTAAACTTGGTTTAAATAAACTGGACAGTATGGAGGTGAAGTGTCGTTAGAGTTAAACTCGAAAGGATGTCATGCCAAGTGGCTTGAAAAACGAAATCTTCAAGAACCCTTGAAGATCTATCTTTTTTAAGTGTGTAGTCTCAAGGTTTTGGGGTATATACTAGGACACAGCCTTTCTAGGCTAAAAAAAAAAATGGGCCCAAACCTATCTTGACATAATCGCACCTATCGCACTAATCTCTAGGGACTATCGTGTGCACTCTTCCCAGATCCCCTTGCATCCTGCCTGAAGACTAGATCAAAGAAAGTACTAGAAAGCCACAGTGAGCCACAGTCCAGCTCTCGAGTAGGTCGCAGGGTAACCTTTAAACTTCCAGAAGATGAAGAGAATACAAACAGCAATGAAGACATTATACCCAATAAAGATCCTCCACCAGTGCTGGCTAAACCAAAACTGTAAGTATTATTTACTTTTTTTACTACAACGCATCAGAAGATGCATCTTAGAAAACATTTTTTAAATTTCAGTCTGGGCACCAGATTTTGAATTTTGATTTATTGTGTTTTTTGTTGTTATTGTTTGTTTTTTCCCTTTTGTCTGGAAGTAATCCACTGCAACTTCAAATTCTTCACAAACAAGTACTTTTGGAGCAGCAGCAGGAGAGCGATATTCAGAACCTAGAGCACTCAGAGTTAGACCAGGAAAGTCTTAATCAGTGCAATAAACAGGTTCTGACTTCTTTACATCCAGTGCCATCACCACTAAAACAAACCCCTCCACCCTTTTTAAATACTGTTCCACTGCCACAGATAAACCCCTCACCTGTTTCTTTACTGAGTACCATTCCTGCTCCTCCATTTAAAACTGAACCCATTTCACCATTGAATATGGCCTCTGCAAACCAGACTGATCTTATTCTCTTGCCAGAGATCAACCCATCTCTTACAGTTGTCCTTAATAACCCTCCCACATCTCAACAGAATATTGCTCTTAATTCAAAGTTAAACACTGTCCCTACAAATGTTGATCTTTCAACACAAATGCCACAGATGATTTTAGGTCCTGCTGCCCTAACACCTGAACTTAATATGGAGGCAATGCCCTCACTCAGTTTTGCTCCAGTGTCACCCATTACACATTTAAATGTGATGTCTGCTACTCCCCTATCTCAGCTCGCAACAGCTCTTAGTATATCAGTGTCTCAGCCAGTAACAAGTTCTGCTACATCTTTTCCCCAAGTAAATGTGTCTCCAACAGTCCAGCTAAATACTGGCCCAACATCCAAAATAAATATGACTCCACCCACTCTTTCCTCCACCATATCTCAAATGAACATTGCTCCTGCCACTCAGATGAAATCAATCCCCATTACTCAAGTAGACATGGCTGTTAGCCCAACACATTCTGCATTGTTAATAAATTCTAGTAGAACCAAGTTAAACAGCACCTCAGTGAATCAACAAGTCATGGAACCAACATTGGTCCAAGGCACAAATTCCCAGAATTCAACAACAGTGCCACTGAATGTCACTTCCTCTCATATGTTAAAAAATACAGCTTTATCTATACCTCCTGTCTCCATTACTCAGACTCCACCAATCTGCATCACTTCAATCTCAAATGCTAACTTTTTGCAGAGTTTCAGTTACACTAGACCTAAGGAATTCATTGCAAGCCACATTCTCTCACAAGGAATATGTCCTTCACCAACTCTGTCATCTGCCACACAAAATGTATCCAGACCTACCACAAATCTTACCTCACCCAACAATCAACTTACTCCATCCCTGCGGGTTTTCCCTACAAGACTTCCAGACTCTCCAAGCAGTCCTCCATATGTTGTATCACCCCCTCTAGTATGTCCTGCTCTGGTGAATTCAGTATTTTCTTTACGGCCTCAGTCACCGCCACAGGCCTCCTCCCCAACTTCTAGTGGCTCCACATCTAGCCCTATCCAAAACCCAGTGGCCTTCCTCAGCTCTGTTCTACCCTCATTGCCAACAAGTCCTCCAACTAATGCTATGGGACTCCCCATGAGAGCTCCTAGGTAAGCCTATAACTTAATTATTGATTGTATATGTACTAGGGCTTCATGATTTCTGATTCTGGCTGTGCAGCAAAACACAAATCTGACTAACCTCTCCTTTAAACAAATAGTAAATGTTCACTATTGTGAAAAGTGCACAGTAAAAATCATAAAATGCAGAGAGGTTCGAAGGTCAGAGGCCAGCATTCACTTATTTAAATTCACAATCAGAATGACCATTAAGGTCTTCATTATTTCTGAATCAGGAAAAAAGCAGAAAACATAAATAAAATATCAATAAAAATAAATAAAATGTTAATTATTTAGTGTGTATACACTGCCTTTTTTTAAATATTTAATTCTTCACAAGAGACTTACAGTTGTTCACAGAAGCCTCTAGGGAATTTTTTCCATACTTCTTGTAAAAACCTCCAAAGTTCAGTTTTAGAAATAAGCCAATTACAAACATTGAGTCATCAATCCATCAAACCTTACTCAGATGACCAGTCTTGTTGTTCTAGTGCAATTTTTTTTCTTGTTTTTTTTTTTTTGTCTGTAATGGCCTCCTGACATCTAGATACTCTGTGACCAATAGCAATTTATTCTCTTCTTACAGGGGAAGAATACACACACACACACACACACACAAATATATATATATATATATATATATATATATATATATATATATACTACACACACACTGCTTTTGAAAAAGTATTTGCCCCATCCCCATTTTGCACATTGTCACACTTTAATGTTTTATCACACTACTTTTAATACAAAGACAAAGATAATACAAAATGCTGTTTTAATAATGATTTCATTTACTAAAGAAAAAATGCTGTTGGGTACTACCTAGTCCTATGTACGAAAAAAAAAGTAATTGCCCCTTTAGCTATGTTGACCTGTTGAATCTAAACATCACTTAAATATAACCTGTCTGGCAATGTGAAGCAGACTAGAAGGTCTCAAAATGCAGTGCAGATGCCAAACAAAGTCACTGAAATCTTTTAGTCTGGAAAGGATTACAAAGCCATTGCTAAGGCTCTGGGACTCCAATGAATCACAGAGAGAACCATTATCCACAAATGGAGAAAACTTAGAACAGTGGTGAGCCTTTCTAGGTGTGGCTGGCCTACCAAATTTTCACCAAGAGCTCATCGACTCATCCACGAGGACACAAAAGAATCCAGACAAAAATCTAAAGAACTGCGGGCCTCACTTGCCTCATTTAAGGTCAATGTAAATAATTCCACAATAAGAAAGACACTGGGCAAAATTGGCATTCATGGAAAAGTTGCAAGATGCAAACCATTGCAGGCCAAAAAAAAAAAACACAAAGGCACATCTCACATTTGCCAAAAAACATCTTAGATGACCACCAAGACTTTTGGGATAATATTCAGTTGACTGATGAGTCAAAGGTGGAACTTTTTGGAAGACATGGGTCCCATCACATCTCATGTAAAGTTAACACAGCATTCCACCATAAGAACTTAATACCAACAGTCAAACATGAGTGTGATGGTCTGGGGCTGCTTTCCTTCTGCAGGACCTTGTCATAATTATCATTATGTTGACTTGTCATAATTAATGGAACCTTAAATTCTGCTCTTTATCAGAAAATCCTGAAGGAGAATGTCTGGCCATCACTTCATGACTTAAAGCTCAAGCACAGTTGGTTTATGCAGCAGGACAATCATCCGAAGCACACAAGCAAGTCCCCCTTTGAATGGCTCAAGAAATAAAATTAAGGTTTTGGAGTGGCCAAGTGAAAGTCCTGACTTAAATGCCATTGGGATGCGGTGGCAAGACCTTAAACAAGTAGTTCATGCTCGAATACCCTCCAGTGTAGCTGAATTAAAACAATTCTGCAAAGTAGAGGGGACCAAAATTCCTAGATATCAACATAAAAGACTCATCGCATGTTATCTCAAACATCTGATTATAATTGTTACTGCCAAGGGTGGCACAACAAGTTATTAGGTTTAGGGGCAATTACTTTTTCACAATATAGGTTTTAAACAAATCTTTATCTTTAATAACTGTAACGATCATTTAAAAGCTGCATTTTGTGTGTACTCATGTTGTCTTCATCTAATATTAAAATTAGTTGGATGATCTTAGAACTTTTAAATGTGACAAATTTGCAAAAATAGAAGAAATCAGGTAAGGGACAAATACTTTTTTACAGCACTATATCTGTATGTATATAGCTTTGCATGTGTGTGCTTTGTAATTTGCTAAATAACCATGCAAGACACAAGAGAGCACATAACTATTTTTATAATAATACTAAGGGCTCCTGATACCATATTCTCGCTGATGTAAATTTGGCCCTGCGTGCATGCAATGTAATTTGATCCATCCTGTATCTGCATTCTTTAATGATGTGTTTGTCTTACAAAATGATATTGTGATAACAATAAAAATATGATCAGTAAAATAATATATGATATAAAATCATGCAGCTTGTATATTTAATTTATATTTTTAGTGAGTTGAACTGAACTTTTATTATTGCATGTTCAGGCCTCAAGCCACACTGAACAAGAATCACAGAAGCCCTTGGTCCAGACCAGATGAAGATATCCCTGATGGCAGAGTAACTCTTTCACATGACATTGAGAAAAAGCTGCAACTGAAAAATGAATTGCCTCTTTATGGACAACAGGTAAATTGACAACACAGCCTCACATATCTATAATATGCATCACCTTGCTATTTCCCATCCAGTAGTGCTTGTTGGTACTGGTTTGAGGTTAATGAATAAGGAGTGTGCAGATGGGTGAAAAAGATGCAAGAAAATGGTACAGGCTTGAATGCTTGACCCCTACAGTGAAGGTTTGTGATAGCTCTTTGTTGTAGGGGCATTTTTCTAACATCGCAGTGGCCTCAATTCAACCCACATTGTAAGATTTTTTTTTTGCTTCACAGTGCTTGCTTTATGGTTTTATTACAATATAAAAAGTCAGAACAAATCACTGAGTTGCTGTCGGCTTTGATGAGTAACAAGTAAGTCTCAAGTCTTGATGCGTAAGATCCAAGACCTGTCAATACATACTAGTCTCAAGTCGAGTCTTGAGTCCTAAACTTCAAGTCCTAAACACAAAAATGGTGACAGTAATATAGCCTGTTTAATGATAGCATGTTAGCATTTTTCAGTCTTATTACCATTCCAAATTCCTAAATCCATGGTATATGCATAACCATGACCAACACAATGGTCTACACAGAGAGTGGTGCCACTATGCATAAAATAGAAAGTAAACCATTTTTAAAGTACTATGGAACTTGAAAATAATAATAAAAAATATTGTGTAAGAGTGTAATTTTGATGATTTTTGGAAGTGTGTTTCGAGCCCATTGTCTCTCTTCATTCCCCCGGCCCCTAAAGAATTTCTCTTGTTGCTAGGTGATAAAAATAAACATAGCTGATTAGCAGCTTAGCTTGTTAATGTTCCACAATGCTGCACATTGTGGCAAGCAGTACAAAGTGTGGGTAAGTTCTGTGATTTTTGAATCATTTAAACACAAAATAATGGCAAGTATATTACATGTTTTCATTTGACACCTGAAAATGAGACTAACTAACTGAAAACAAACTAAAATCTACTGCTAATTTGAACTAAAACTAGACAACAAACAACAGAAACCTAATGAACTGCGCTGAGCAAAATTTGCAGAAAAGAGAGCAAAATAATGGTGAATTTTGCACTTTTTAATGATTTGCAGAAATCATTAAAATCCTTCGAACTGAGTGAGCTTAATTGTTGTTAAACTACAATGAGGAAAATGATAAGCTTGACTGGTTACTGCAGTAACCCTGGAGTTTAAGTGCTTATAGATTTATAAATGAATTTTATTTGTTTCCAGCTTATGGGTAAAGCTAAAATTCTTATGCTTGTTTCATTTCCTCCAAAATAAAATTAGTAAGGCACAACTATAGTTATGGATGCTGTTAGGAGTCTATATGTAGAGTCTTGTTAGGCAGGTATGCACTAGCATATGGGTCCATGCTTTGGAGAGCCTGTGAATTGCCTCTTTGGGACAGGGGCAATTTAAGACTAGGACATATTCACAATCAAACAACAATCAACAATCAAAACACAACTTAAACAGATTCAGTTATGCTTGGATATGAAAGAAGCATATAGAAAAGGCCTAGTTCTTTATAAACACAGATGGGTCAAGACTCACCACTTACATCAAAAATGCAACAGGAAAAAAATCCAACAGTTTAAAAATAATGTTTCTCAGCCAGGGATTGCAAGGATTTTAGGTATTTCACCCTCTACGGTGCATAATATCAAAAGATTCAGGAAATCCAGAGAAAACGAACACTTGCAGAAAATGCTGTTTCACGCTGCCCAAGATTGAGGTACTCCGACGAGACCAAGCTACTCCAGTGCTCCACAGCAAACCAGCAAATCAGAGGCACTCAAGCAAGCACAAAAAACAAACAAACAGTTTTAACTTAATCATTAATGATTAAAGAAAACCTGAAACATGGACACCTACATGTTTTTTTTTATATTCTATATTGATATGGTGCCTAAAAATAGCTCACTGTTTTTGGCTGCTTAAGGTCAGGGCAACACAAGGCCAAAGTCCAATGTATTTAAAGTTTTACTTTTTAAACCTTTTTAAACAATAGTTCAGTGAAAAGTGACTGGCAGAGACACAAAAAAACCTTGCTGTGTGTGAACGCTAAAAAGCCTACAGTCACTGGTAACGCATTTGCCATGTATCTTGGTGCAGCTCAAGTTATTTTATAATAATACCTAAAGCTGATACCTCTACTAATACATAATATAGACACTCAGTCACTCACATTGTTAATGTTTTCTATCATTACATGATAATGACTTCATCTCTATGCAGATTTTATGCTATTTTGCAGATGTGGTCAGATGTGGTCATTCAGCTAGCTGGCCTAACCGCACACCGCGCCGACAGATTAGCATAATTGTCTGGTAAGACTCGCAGTAGTGAGTTATGTGTTTACACTAACAACAAATAGTGTAGGAATGTTGTGGCAATATAAAGTGACCGCTTGCCATTCGTGGAGTTTATGATTGTAAAGACCAGGCCATTCTATGTCCCCAGAGTTTTCTACCATGCTCGCTGTATATTCTGCCCAGTTCGATCAGGAAAGTGCTGAATGAACTATATGGAGCAGTAACCTACAGACTGTGCCCCCTGATTTTTTTTATTGTAGCTGAAGACTTGTAGCTGGAGACTAATCATGCAAGTTAGAAGTCAGTCCTGCCTTGTTTGTACCAGCACGTTAATTTTGTAACTCGTGGAGTAAACAAATTGGACCTTACATTGGTACCTCACCATATACAGCGTATACAAGGCTGCACCCACCCTTACTTCAACTGCTCAGACTATGTCTCTTTTATACTAAGTCCAGCGTACAAACCTCTGCTCAAGCATGCCAAACCAGTTCTGAAACAGGTGAGAACCTGGTCTAAGGGGTACATTCTCTGCACTTCAAGACTGTTTTGAGTGCACAAATTGGAACATATTACAAAGGGTGCTACCTATGATGATTCAACTGATTTGGAGGAATATACAGTACCTCTGACTGGCTACATTAGCAAGTGCATAGATGACATAACTTGACATGAGTCAATTTTGCTGCTGAAAACCCAGAATGCTGTCCTTAGGTCAGTCAACAAGGCAGCCATTAGTAAAACAACAGCCAACCTGTCGCAAGCTATCAGGGAGGCAAAGTGCAACTATGGACAGATTATCCATGGAAATTTTCTAGTCATTTGAAATACTCAGCGTTTGCGGCAGGGCATTCAGGCCATCACTGACTAGAAAATGACATCAATGAATGAATGAATGGATGAATGAATGAATGAATGAATGAATGAATCAATCAATCAATCAATCAATCAATCAACCAAATGACAAAAACACAAGAGCAAAATGAACAGAGGATAAAATTTTACAACTAATATATTCATTAATTATATCAATTACAACATTGAATATAGAGAAAAGTAGAAAAACAAACCAGCCTGTCATTGGAAAGAACTGTTTATACAAACCAATGATAACTGAAGACTACTCTTAGAGGCCTATCAGAGTAACAACGAGAAATATACACACACACACACACACACACACACACACACACACACACACACACACACACGCACACACATCTTCTAAACCGCTTATCCTTCTGGGTCACAGGGGAAGCTGGAGTCTATTCCAGCAGTCATTGGGTGGAAGGCAGGATACACCCTGGACAGGTCACAACGAGAAATAGATCAATGAAAATCACTGTTACCAGTGAAAATCGCTGACTACCGAGCATATTATAGTGAAAAAAACATGAATGTCAGTGACTACTGTTAGAAGCCTACAATAGGCCTGATGATATGTTAATAAGGCAAACAAAAATTCAAAAATACATGTATTGTAAAAAGTAACTAAATAAAAAGTAAAACGTAATACATTTAAGTATTTCATAACTATTTAAGTTTAAATGTGCTACTGTTAGGATGGATATCTGTGGGGTTGTAGCGTGGCTAAAATGCCTTTCCTGCTTTCCTGCTGTGGAGGTGGTGCTTTTTAGGCCCTGCATACACCTGTCTTTCACATTGTGAAACATGAATCTCATAACCCAAAGTGGGTTTAAAAGGCAATTCACGAGTTTCAAATAAAAATCAATTTGAAAATTAAAGCATAGCAGTGCCCTGCTTCACAATTGCTACTACGTTTAATAAAATGCGTCCAAATATACCATAGTAGGTGGACATGGATACCAGCGAGAAACATACTTAGCCCATTTTCTTTTCGATTGAATGTCAAATGCAATAAAGGAAATAGTGAAAAGGGTACTGAATATTCCTACTTAAGTAAGATAACTGCTACTGTACTGATAAATGACTTCAGTTTAAGTAAAACTACCAGTAAAAAGAAGAAAAAGAAGAGTGAATAAACAATGTATTGCAAAACTAATAATGAAAAACACAAAACAAAGTTAATGTTTTGTATGTCTGCAATGACAATCTGAAAATTGTTTGCTTGATTCTTATACAAACAAAGCTTAACATTTACTGCTAAAGTAGAATATTTTGGTAATAATTGTAGTATGTCTTGCTAGTGTGAATTTATTACAAATCTTTCTATATGATGTCTTTATAGGTTGCCCTAGGCTGCCTATTAGCTCACCTTGAGCGTTAGCTAAGTGCATTAGTCAGCTAACAGGCACATGTGATAGAACATAATTATCAGAATTATCATAAACAGCTGTCAGGCTTAATACCCCATCATTAAGTCAGTTCTCTGACAGGTCTGTATTCAAAGTTCATGTGCTTCAAGTATTTGCCAGTTGTATATAGTTTTGACAATTTTTTCTGAAGATATGTCATTAGATGAGCAAACGTGGTGAAATACTCCATTCTGCTGTTGTAGTAGAGTTGTTGCTTTGTGACTTTGGATTCTGTGGGTACGACATTAATGCAGATTTATTTCCAGTCACTGTAGATGTCCATACAGACATCGATCCTCAAAGTCCCTAATGTCGCCACAGTGTTTAGTTAAGCATGATCGTTAAATACTCCTAGTTGTGATAGCATGGACATCTACACCACTTGGACATAGAGGTGGGAATTGGACAGAATGCACTGGGCTGGAACACTGTTCTGG